ATATACCCTCTCGTGAGATAGTAACGCAGTTAACCTTATGTTACTTCGCACTTTCGCACGTTACTTTCACGATAATAGAAACTTATTGCTAACGGAGTTAACGCTTCTCTAATAACAGTAATATCTTATCGGCAAGCTTACAATTTTCTCAGATACACTAACACGACGTTCAAATCTTATAACAATAGATTAGTAATAAGCGTATATATATTTATTAGACGATTATGCTTCCTGGTGAATCAAATTTGCCACACCGATAATTATATCCAATTGATTTAACCAAATTTTACGTGTCCTATAATACTAACAAGAAATATTGATATTTTATAGTAGATAAATAATCGGAACAAAATACAGGTGTGTTTCAATTTCTTACGAGTTGACGTTTAGAAAGAAAAAGAAAAAACAAATTCCGTTGTCGATAATAACAACTATGAGATTACATCGGGAAAATTCAATGTCTAAGGAATGTAAGCAAACAATTTTTTACATAACTCTCTGAAAGATAACACATTCGTGTAAATGTAAAATATTTTGTTTATATAATCTTTTTTTTTTTCTTCTAAAACATATCTCACACACGAGTATAAAGTTTAAATACGGTATAAATCGCGTGAAGATAAAATAAAATAAAATAAAACAGAAAGAACATAAAAATTAATAAAAAAACGTATTTTATAACTCTGTCTTTTAACTAGAAAATTATTAAATAATCTAAAGAATCTTGTCGTGGTTTACACTATAAACCTATAACTTAAAACTTAAAACACACACACGAGAGATTTTTGTTCCGACATTTTATATATATATACTTTTTTAGATGAAAGGTGTTATAGAAAAAGATAATGATAGAATTAATGATAAACTGACCCAAATATCGCAGACAGTTTGTTCTTATCCGACGAATCGGCCAATCCACCACGAGGAAGATGATCCCAGAAGGAAAACAAAGTTGAAGAAGTGAAGGAGAAGGATAGTGAGCGTCCACGTGTTCGCCCACGACGACGAGTCGAATAATCCGCTGGCAGGAGTAGTGATGTGTGTGAATGTCGAAGCATCAGAAAGAAACAACGAGCTTTCGAGAAAGAAAGAAACAAACAAAAAGATAGAAAGAAAGAGAGAAAAACAAATCAAATAATTCTATTTCTTTCTTTCTTTCTTTCTTTCTTTCTTTTAATTCTAAACACACACGAAACACTGGCTCACTATTTTAATACCGTACGCAAATAAAATTTACAAAAAAATAACCCGCACTTCAAACAACAACCGAAGATAATTTTACCGAGGGTAGTGGGTGGGTTTACATTCATTTATGTACATACAATTATGTATGTATACTTGTCGTCGTTGTTGTTGTTTTTGATGATTCGATTTGGGTGATCGATTTACCGCCAAAAATTCAAAAGAACGAACGGAAATCTTCTTCCTTCGGTGTTTCGAGTTCGACGCACTCTCCTCTTCTTCTTCTTCTTCTTCTTCTTCTCTTCTTCTCTTCTTCTCTTTTTTGTTTATTTTGTTTCTTTTTTTCCCCTTCCGAATACCTTTGAAATTCCAAACGACACCTTCGATCTCGTGTCGCGATTACCGACGAATAATCCACGAGGATAGAGAAAAAGAGAAAGAGAGAAAGAAAGAGAGAAAGAGAGAGAGACAAGCTCGCAAGTAAACCGCAAAAACCGAACGCGATCTCGTGACTGCCAAATCGATCCTGAGACACGCTCGAACAAACCGCAACTACACGACGAAAATTTTAAAAGAAACTTCGAAACCTTCGATACGATATGTAGGTAGGTAGGTAGGTAGGTAGGTAGGTAGGTAGGTAGGTAGGTAGGTAGAAAAGGTAGGAAGGTAGTTAGGTAAGTATAGGTAGGTAGGTAGGTAGGTAGGTAGGTAGGTAGGTGTAAGTAAAATTTGTATATATAAATATGTAAATATATAAATATATGTATACTTCAAACGTATAAGTATACATATATAAAAAAATACATACATAAATATATCAATATAAAACGATAAGAGTACTCGAACAGTAATTAGTTATCGATGATCGATTTAAAAAACACACAGAGACAACGACAGATCGAAAGTTTGAAAAGGATGCACTACTGAACACACACGAGGAAAACAATATATATATATATGTATATATATATTTTAGGCGGCAGCGCGAAAAAGATGATACCAACAAGAAACAACTAGCACGAACGCTGCAGCGACACTGAGAAACGACTGAACAACTCGCCGTTCGTTCGTTCGCTTGGCACGCCGATCGCGCCGCGCGATACACTCCTCTCTTTCTCTCACAAACTCTCTCTCTCTTTATCTTACCCTCTTCTTCCTCGTAAGGCCCTCCCACTCTATCTCACTCGATGCTAAAGCTTCTCCCACCTTTTACATTAGCTCACAGCCTAGGCTCCCTCGCTAGCTCCCTCGCACACCCGTTCACCGCACACCCAGTTCTCATATACACATATATATGTGTATATATATATACTTCTTTTTCTTTTTCTTTCTTACCCTCACCCTATTATGAAGCATACTACTACTACTACTACTACTGCTATTACGTTTACCTACCACCAATCAGAGACTGTGGCGGGAAGAACTATGTTCCCCTAGTTCCCACTTTTTCCTTCCTTCCTTCCTTCCTTCCTTCCTTCCTTCCTTCCTTCCTTCCTTCCTTCCATCCTGATGAGATTATATGTTCATCTTTGTCATACCTTTACTCTCATGATCAGCTGTTGCAGTATCTCTAATACTTTCCTATGGGAACACCTTCCCCTTCTTCTTCCTCCCATATAACCAAACTTTCCTTCTTTTCCGAGCACGTGGCATGCTCCAGCAATATTTTCATCATCCCCTTCTGTCATTATCGTTTCAAACTATATATGTATTTTCTCTTTTATATCATTTCATTTTGGAAATGTTTATGAACAAATGAAATTAAGAACAATAAAATAGATTCTTTAACATTTGCAAATACAACAACAACAACAACAAAAGGGTTGAACGACCTAAGGAAAACGACCTCTTCTTCTTCGTGGACGATCGCGCCTTTAAACCCACGGATCGGCACCATCCCGGACTAGATGAAGTAATAATAGGGCAATTTCACTGGCATGCGGCGAACACGTAGCAACCTATACACATATATTGTATATATATAAAGATGCGTGTCTCTTCCTTGTTCAAGAGAAAAAGAGAGACGATCGATTTCCATGCAATTTCACGATCGATTCCCGTCCCTTTAAATCGAACACGCGACTCTGCAACATCCCTTTACTATGTATACATATTATAAAAGATAGGATGATATCACGCTTTGTACATAGAAATACATACATATATGTGCATACATACTTATATACTATTATATAGTAGTACATACCCGCATGCCTTTCCATTAATCTCAATTAAGTAGTAATTAAAAGCGATTAACAAAAGTGAGGTCGTGAACCAATGATGTTGGATTTGTGCGTAAATACATATATATATATATATATGTATGTATGCATGCATGGCCATGTTCGTAAACACCTTTTTTATAGTCCATATTTTTTTACATTCATTTTCTACTTTACAATTTGTCCTATGTACATTAGATCAATTTACTTCATTCTTTTTTTCTCTGTTCAATTAAAATAATACGTGGGTGGCAATTTACATTAATACATTTTTCATTTATTATTTAAAGTTCGTTCATTTTATTCTTTTTTTTTTATCTATTTATATCTATGTGCATGTGTGGGCGTATTTAAAAATTAAAAAAACGATGCTATGTATAAACGTGTACAAACTAACTCACATTTTCTCAATCGTTTAAACGTTAGCTACTCAAAAGCAGTTGTGAAACCCTTGTGATTTATATATTTTCGTCCTTAACTCTGATATAAACGACACTCGCGTATCTGACACGCTCGACTTCGTTCATATCGCTCCTCTCCTCGACACGCGATTACTTTGAAAAGTATATATACATATGTATGTATGTATGATGTATGCAAGTATATATATATGTGATTCTAAGAGCAATGAATCCTGGCAAAGGTACTAGGCTAGCTAGATTGATAGATACATGTTTTATTTCATCATTTTTCTTTTTTTTTTTTAATCTAAAAAGAGAAAAAGATTAAATATTGTTAGTTTTACATTTAAGATTAAATGTAATACTGAAGATATAAAATGAACACTCATTCTCTTAGTTCGAGTTACGAGTTTAGAAAACAAAGTTATGTCGCCGATATAAACCTGCTGTTCTCATCGTGTATTCGCGTAACTACTATGCAAATCGATGACACACGTCGCTTATCCTCTTTCTCTTTCTCTCTTAGAAATACAAATCGAGAAGAGGAAAGATAGATAAATAGATAGATAGAGAAGGAAGGAAGGAAAGAAAGAAAGATCCTGGCACGCAGCAGATGCCTCGGACAGTATGTAAGTTCCTCCAATGGAAAATCCTAACGAACGACTCTCAAGGCTACCTACTTCTCTTATGCGTCCGGGCAAACTTTGATACGTGTATATATAAGTAAATAAATACGTATATAAGTAGCGTGAACAAATCCAATTTTATGAACGTGAATTGGATGAACTAGAGAAAAGAATCTTATGTGTATGCGTTTTATTTATCATATGTGATACTTATGGTACGTGTGGCACTATCTTTCGTTACTTATTTTCTCCTATTTTTATTGCTTAATACAAAATAATTAATAATAAACATAATTAAACAAAACAAAAAATAAAATAGAAATTCTATTGAAATATAAATAAATTTCAATTAACGATCACGATCGTATTTAAGATTTAAAATAAAGAAAAAGCAGCTTACGTTAAAGTTTATTTCCTCGAATCAGCTGCATTCCGAATTGTAAATACATACGGTTATTTACTTCCATACCGGTAACGTCACTCGATCGTTCGATCTTTCGTGGTTTACGGAATAACCGAGAATAGAATCTTACTTCAGACCACAACGAAGAGATTTGTTTTTTTCTCATTCCCTTATATAAAAAAAAAGGGAGCGCGTTTAGAAGAAGTTTTAATCTTTCTCGTCCCTTCCACGTCTCGTCGATGTTTTTTCTTTCTTTTTATCCTTCTTCCCTTCCCTTCCCTTCCCTTTCTTCCTTCCGGTAAAACGATAAAACAGCATCTTCTACTAGACTACTTTTCTCCACCCACTTGGAAAAGTAAAAAAAAAAAAATTAAAAAAAGGAGTTAACGAGCTGTCGAGTTCGTGGTATAAAGTAAGTTTGTGCTTTCCTCATAAAGGGACCCCTTTTATAACGTTCTCGAAAATATTTCGGGAATGGTATGCAAGAAAGACAGATAACAAAAATAAAATGGTTCTTCAAACCGTTGGAAGACCGTAGAATTCAATCTTTAAACGAATGAAGGGGAGGTAAAGAAAGGAGAGGAGAGAACAAATCAGATGACGATGTGATTCTCTTTTTTAATCATAAGAAAATAATACGAAACTTGTAGTTTGAAATGAAAATCATCGAGAAGAGAATCTAGGGGGATTTGTTTTTTCTATTCGAGATTATTGCATTAAACATTGTTTTGAGATATACAAGAGTGACAGAGACCGAAGACAGATAGAAGAAAAAAATGATAGAGATAGAAAATCCAAAAAATAATACAAGAAAGAGAGAAGGATGATGGTGGTAAACCCTCCTCTCGTGTACCACCACCCACACTAAAAAACTTTTACTTTCTCGTTTGTCTAACATCGTAGCAATAGTCAAGGAAGCTTCGTATCTTTCTGTTACGAGACACGAGACGAAAGAAGTAAGGGGTAGGTGGRTGGGTGGTTGGTGCTCGCTCACCTTTCCACACTTTTTTTCTTTTCTTTATCTCCCTGGTCGTCGTGTTTAGAGGCGCGCCTTGTTGTCTGCTGGTAGACGAGTTGCATGTCATATGGTTTTTCCTCTCTCTCTTTCCATTTGACAAATGAAAAATATCAAGACGTCTTTGGACAAAAAAACATCATCAGAATGTTGACTTCGTTCGACCCTACCCTACCTACCCTACCTATCTACGGTCGTTCGGTCGTAAAATTATTTAGTGTAGAGAAGAGAACTTAAAAAAAAAAGAAAAAAATTCAAAGAACCCCCTCTTCTTTCGTCCCTCTCCCCATTCCCTTCCCTCTCAACTTACAAACACAACACACATATACATTTGCAATACTCGTTTTAATACACATCTGTTATTCGTCACTGTGAAAACGTAAATGTAACTCTGTTTCTATGTATGGATGAAAGTGCTATGAATCATACATTCTCTTTCTCTCTCTCTCTTACTCTCTATCTATGATTATATTTATATATTCGTGTTAATTACTAGTAAGATTATCATTCAAATTGGACTTAACTGTTTATAACACAATCGATTTATATATCTCATTTATAAATACAATTTGTCGGTGCTAGACACGATTCAGACTTAATAAACCAAGTCGAAATAAATTTTCAAGACAAGAGAGAGGAGACACAGACACACAGAGAGTGAAGGAAAAGAAAAAAAAAAGATAAAAGGATCTAACTCTCTCTCTATCTCTCTATCTCTTTCTTTCTATGTTGGAACGTTCGAGTAGTCTTTGAACGGAGCACACACGGCCCTGCCTGCTTGGTTGGTTGGTTGGTTGGTTGGTTGGTTGGTTGGTTGTACTCGAAAGACCGTCGTCGTCGTCGTCGTCGTCGTCATCGTCGTCGTCTTGGTCGTCGTCGTCGTCGTGCATTTTGATATCGTCTTGTTGTCGGGGGCCGTTGCTCGTCGCGCGTCAGTGAGTCACACTATGCCGGTGCTACGCCATATTGACGCGCTCTGACTTGACCCTCTCTCTCTCTCTCTCTCTCTCTCTATCTCAAAAACATAGAGAGAAAGAGAGAGAGAAAGAGGAAGAGAGTGAGAGAAAGAAAGAGTTATTTATCGACGCAAGAAACGACGCCGCTAAGCGATGAATTATTTCCGGGACTATGAAAGAAATTGCATCGTTTTAACACTAAACCTATATATCTCGAGCATGGTCAAATGATTTGCTAGTCCTTGTAATTTGTAAAGATGTGTGTTCTGCTAGAATTTTTATAAGAAAAAAATATGTGTATATAACTGATTGTCGATTAGGTTTAGTGTTAAAAGCTTAGATTTGTTCTATTACTCCCAAGGAATTTTTCACACCAAGAAATTACTAACTTCTTCCTTATTTTCATCTTTGAAGAAAAATAAA